TGTGCACCCTCCCTGCAAGATCTCTGGTTACTGCCCTGTGTGAGTAGTTTTAGTTCCATAAATATATACAAACTTCCAAGACAACCACTCAAGCAACTCTCATGTTCAGGGACGTCGAAGCATTATTTTTAATGAGTGGGGACTACAATTTAGGTTATATATAAGTGATATAAAACATGCAAGGAGATGTGCAAGTTTAGAGTAGAAAAGATCAGGGGGGGCTATAGCCCCCCTAGTTCCCCTGTCTCCAATGTCCCTGATGTTGAACCAATTTCCACAAGATATTTCATCTAAAAAAATTACTTGCTATGAATAATGCCGAGCTACCTTACAATCTACAGCTCTTGAATAAATAATAGTTATCAGCATAAGAGATTACTCAATATAAGTAGGCTAAAACTTGAAAAAATTCAATAACAAGTGAGTGGCATAAGAAAGCTATTGAATTTGTAAGTACAGAATTCACTAAAATAACTGCTGTACTTAGGGAAGCATTCAAAGTTGACTTGGAATTCAAACCATTTCAAGATTTCAAGAGAAGAACATCTTTGCCKGCACTCCCTGCCATAAATAAAAAACAGCATGGATGATACTCTTCTGCTAATATAACCAGCAGTTCAGTAAAAATGTATATGATCCCAATTTTTACTCTGTAAGAAATAAACTTACAAAGATTACAACATGTTATTGTTTGAATCTTAAGACTTCAGAAAGTGCATTAAGTGTTTTRAAGTCTGTAGAGCATTACATTACTCTTTTAATGACATCCAAATGAAAAGATGGTAATAAGTTTCATTAGTTCTTTCATTCTCATACTCACATTACCAATTAAATTAAATTATATATCATGTAACATTACATTTCTTTTAATGACATCCAAATGAAAAAGAGGTARAGGGGTTCCTTCGTTCTCTTACTCAGATTACCAATTAAATCTAAATTATATATCATGACAAAACTGTCAAAAATAAAGCTTGTGGCTTAAACTTCACAGGGACATGCTTGTATAACCTATCACAATATTATTATAGACTTGTTTGGAAAGGATCAAGACTATATTTAGTTCTTTATTTCAGTAGTAATTTTGTTTTAATGACTTTTTCATATTAATGTAGATTTGAAAATATAATCCTCCAAAATGGAATAGTTTGACCTGCTTTTTTCACACACATACCTTCAGTATGTTTTAGCATTCAACTGCTTTACTTAAAACTTTTTATCAGATAAAAGGCATTCAAATTTTATTAGATGAGATTATAAAAACTRAAATGTTTAAAATTTAAGCTAATTCATGATATGTTCTTCGTATTCAATTAAAAACCTATGAGAGTGTGAGTCTAARAGCAAATAAGACAGCAATAGCATCTGTTCTTTAAATCTATTTTCAACTCATAAAATAAAATCCGTACTAAATTTTAAAACTTAAAGTAAACATATTGAGTGTATGTTGAACTTTCGCTGCATAAATAATGTAAAAAGACCATGATCATGGATGAAAGATTTTAATGTTAAATTCAAGGGGAAATGAACCAGAAAGTTAATAAAATTTTCTTATCAACAACTGACACTTTAAAAGAGCAATGCATAGGGTTCAATTGGAAGCAAGATAAGACTAAAGTATTATTGCACGTCTAGGCTATTTTCTAAAGTCTCTGGGCTGACAAGATGGATGAGGTGTTGACCCTCGTCTAGGAAGCKGAGGTAATACTTCATGGCTTGATTTCTGGGCTGACCCAAACCTGATATTAAGCATTCCTKGTGGGTCTCAATGATCATGCTACGACGTTTTTATAAATATATTTATTATTTATTTCTAAGCATTTATGATATTAACAAGTTTGTAAAATGAAGCTACATATTGTGCACTAAATAAACATCTTTTGGTTTTCTAGAAGAGGTAAAAGGTAAGACACAGATCTAAAAGCTTATCAGCATGGGATGGGCTAATGAATTAAAAAAATAGAAAAAATAAATTCATTTACCAGAATTCATTTAACATGTCCTAAAAATGTTTACTCTTCATTAATCCTTTTCTTTCTTTGATAAAGGTGTTGAACTAACACAGATAACTTTGTTCTCACACAAAAAATATGATAAAGCTAAATAAAACGTAARCCACAAAGAGTAATTATATTCTAGTAATGACAGATTCCTATAAATGTACACTATCCACATTTTGGTCTAGAACTGATAACGAACCCTTGGGTCTGGGATCATGGGCGTTTTGCTTCGTTTCTTTCTTGAAGGTTTACGAGTATTTACACTAATTGACTTGTGTCAAAATGTTTCATAGCGTTGTTGTGTTCAGTCAAGAGTGGCCTATTAAATCGAGTAGTGTTAAGAAACTACCACAAGCCACATTTTGCACGTAGGGATTTACGAAGTCAAATCCCTAGAGTTTTTTAAAGTGCTCGCAACATAAGCCACTTATAGAAGCAAAATTGTTTTCAAAGGTCAAAAGAGAAGCGCTCGATTATAAGCTTCGTGGTAAACTCAATAAAGAATATTTATGGCAAGCTAGCCTATTTCTCTTTCTACTTCTTTAAAAACAATTTACTATTAATATTAAATGCAAGGCGGCAAATTACTATGACTAAAACAATTCAACAAACACAAACGTTATACATGAAGACGAACAAATTCCATACGAACAATGAGTTATGTGTGAAATGTAATTATAAGCTCAAAAATATCATAAAGAAATCTTTGAGAKCAGAGAAAAAGAGTAGGCGCTGGAAGTTTCCTTGAAATCGGACCTTCCGACAATTTTCAACCAAGGGAATTYGATGCATGCTGTTGGTGAGATGAGAAACACAGAACACTATTGTTTACGTGGTCCTTCCGAAGCGGGCGCTTCTCTTTCAAGAATCCTTTGTGTGGAAACCTTTCCGACTACAAAACAATGATCTTTGTCGTAAAAAAAGTAAGAAAATTTTACAAGTTTGGCTTAAGTTGCGAGCTCTTGTGGCACTCAAAAGGTGTCTAAATCACGTCGACCCTTGTCAGTGGCTTCATAAATTAATCTGGTTTTTGCTCTTTTTATAGCACCAAATAGATAATTCTTACACACCGACGTCGACGAGAATATTTGCTCTTTGAGACAATCGTTTGTAAGCAATCATTAGCTTCTGTGATTAGAAACAAGGACGATACTTTAGACGCTAGAATTTCCTTTCATACATCGCAGTCTCCTGTAAAACCTTTTCCACGARTTCAATGTTTTACTCGACCAAATCCAAAATCCCGACGTGATCCCAACGATCAAAAACATTAAATATTTCACCATAAACACGGTGAAGTCTGGTTTTTCCAAAGGAATTGGATAAGGAGGGCAAGAAATGTCGCTGTTTTTGACTTTTGTTATTTCTTTGCACTCTTTCTGGCGTTTCCAGCCTTCTAGCCAAGCATTATCCCATCGAGCTCGATTTGATTGTTCGTAGAATAAACACCCAATAACCACTATCGCAGGCACCGTGTATAAGATCGAGAACACCCCTATTCGAATCATTAGCTTTTCGATTTTTTCACGCTTGCTGTAGTCATCTTTCAAAACAGAACGGACTCTGTAGAGAGACACAAAACCTGCTATGAGGAAGGTTGCTCCGATTATGAAGTAGACAAACAATGGGGCAAGTACATAGCCACGAAGAGCATTCACATCAGACAAGCCTACATAGCAAACACCACTTAATTCGTCTCCGTCCACCTTTGTCATTAGTAGAATAGCAATCGTTTTAACCGCAGGGATTGCCCAAGCTGCTAAATGAAAGAACTGGGAGTTAGCCTCAATAGCTTCTTGGCCCCATTTGAGGCCAGCCGCCAAAAACCATGTAACTGTCAATATCACCCACCAAATAGACGACGCCATGCTAAAGAAATAAAGCATCATGAAAATTACTGTGCATCCTTCGTGTTTGGTTCCTTGTACTAGGGTCTTTGGAAAGCCCGATCGTATGGGTTGATTGCAAGCGATTTTGTCTCCAGCTACAAAACCAGCAATAAAAGCGATCGAGACCATAAAGTAGCAACCAGAGAGGAATATAATCGGTCTCTCGGGGTACCTAAAACGTCGCATGTCAATCGAAAATGTTAAAATAGTGAATAATGTAGATAAAGCACACAGTATCGCCCATATTCCTGTCCAAAGTTGAGCTATCTTGCGCTCCTCGTCGGTGAAGAAGACATTTTTACAAAGAGCTGCGCAGCGCTTCTCGCCATGGTACGTATACTGATCATTACCGATCTTTTGCTCTTCGGGACAGCGATATTTCATCACGTTCTTGTCTACTACTGGATAGCTATTATTCGTATTCCCTTCTTGTGTTGGGGTCAGTTCCTTGGTGTTGTTTTCTCCTACACAGAGCTTGTCTCCAAATTCTGGGAATTTACTACATTTAAGTGATTCAGGCCAGTTAAATCCAAATCTAGTCATTAACTTTTCACAGCCGTTCCGAGCACTCTCGCACAAAGACCGGCAAGGCGGCAATGGAGTCTCTAGGACTGTGCACACTGGGGCATAAACCGAGCATAGAAAGAAAGCTAGATCACTGGAACAATCCACTTTGACGAGAGGGTAGAACTGATGAACTTCTAAGCCAGCTTCTTCCTGAGTTCTGTGCTTTAGCATGTTGGGGAATATAGTTGTGTTATACGGTAAACCTGTACACAACGGTATGGTAACTGGTTCACACTGCTTCTTCAACGGTAAACAAGGTTGAAAGTAAGYCAGCATGACGGCAGCCATCAACAACARACTCAGCCCTCGTGGTACACTCATTCTGAAGAAATATCAGTCTTCAACACTTCACTAAACTTCGTTTTCTGATAGACAAATCCAACGTCAACTAAATCCTTCTTACGCTGCCATGACAGAGACAACACTTGACTGTATCGCCTTGCGAGCAAAATTAGCAATGCGGCCAAGCACGTTCGTTGATTGGTCTACGATACGGGAAACGTCAAGGAGGAAATCACAACGTGATGTGATTGGTCCATATCGTRAAAGGAACTCTAATTACGAAAAAAACAACATTCAGGTGTGAAGATTAACCGGAAGTACAAAAGCGAGAAGCCATTCCACGGACCACTATCACAATCATCATTGGTCAGTTCGAAATCATTGATGATCACAAACTCAAAAGAAAGAAAATTGTTGGTCTATAAGCAGATGGMAAAATCATTATACAGATTCCCCCATACTGTTCTTTTGTAATCCAGTAGCCGAAACATGCGAGGCGTCGATTCAAGGAGCTTACTTGCCAACGGCGTTCCTTCTTTTGTTACTATCGGTTGGAATGTGTTTTTCCGCCGGTTAAGACAGATAAGAAAAGGCATTTGATTTTATAAACAATCGCTCACGAATTCATAACAAAAAGACTTCTCTTTTGCCTTCGATTTTGATAATTAATWTAACATAACTCATAATTCGTTTAGACTAGTCGTAGGCTAGGTTAGAATAATATTCTTGATTCTTATTCGAAATAACTGGTTAGGCTTTTAAAATATCTAGGACGGATTTGAAATATTTCATTGTTGCTTCGAATAGAGTCACACGAACTTCCTTGGGTTTTTCATTAAGAAAACAGATTGAACAAAACAAAACTGACCACTTCACTCGCGAAATTGAAATTAAATTATCGCGTACAAGTCGTGTTTTTAAGTGCATTTTATCTGGCTTTCTTATCATCATCCTAGCCACTACTTTGACACTGATGAGTCGTTTTATTGATCCCTAAATGCTCTACACCAAAACTGTTGCAAAAAACATTATAAGTGTGGCGTACTCTGAGGCTCAGTATGTTTTTAAAACACTCCTACTACTAATAAATGAAAACCAATATTCATTGTGTTATGATTTCTTTAGTGCTTTTACAATTCTGTTACACAACCTTATGACCTCGGAGCACCGAAATGGTATCCATACGTCTTCTGAGGAACGCATGGAATGTGGGTCATACGCTACACTTATTACGTGTACATCCTTCTTATCCTTGACAACAAATGRCTCTACTTTTATTTTAAAGGGTTTTGATCGTTTTACTAACAAATAAACACCGGATAATTATCGTCCTATCGTTTCAACTCTGAAGTCTGTTCGTGCACACCCGTCTCGTCGTCCGGATAGGTCGTGGGCTTTCAAAGAACCGATCACACGTATTTTCAAGAACATAGGAATGTTRAAGATGAACCAGTATCATGTTCGGTTATAAAATCTGCGAAAAAAGATGCCATAAAGCATAATCTTCACTGAGTCTTTCTTCGCAAAAATCGACATCAAAATTCCATATGTTTTGATGTCGAACACACATGAACTTTATCAGATACCTAGAGAAACTATGCAATCGCCACCTGGACCGACGCCGGTGATGCAACGTAAAATATTTGCAAATTRCAATTTGATTCACAAATAAGTGTTAAAAAATCCTTTACACTTAATTATTCATACTTAATTATAACTGATTTAATAATTAGCAACTTATATAACGCATTTTCCATAAAATTGATCAAATGCGCTTTTAATTAAAATTATATCCTAAATATAATTCAATTTATCTGTCATGAGATGAGGAGGCTGGAGATGGAAATGGAAAGAAACTTTCCGTCATTATCTGAGGTCATAAGCTATTGTCCGTTTAATAAAGAGTGTCAACTTACTGAAGGGGTCCACCTAAAAGAGGTACCTCTGTACAGTATTTCACATCAATGATAACGATGAATGCGACTATCACAAGCCCACATTGCTAGAACCGTATGGAGGGTCCTGAAGGGGTGAAATAAGAGCTGGGCCTGTTCACATTTTGGGGGGGCTGGGAAAATGGGATTTAATGCACTGGAAATGGAATTCACAAAGAAAAAAAACAATAAAGAAATGGTAATGGGATTGAGTTTTGAGCACAGTGGCGGATCTAGGGGTGGGKTTTGGGGGTTGCAGCCCCCCTATGAGAGCCATCGTGATTTATTATTATTATTATTATTTTCATTACAACACCAACAGCATCACGAGTTTTATTAAAACAGGGGTGCCAAACACATTTCGCTCGCTTTTTTTCTATACGCCGTATGTGGGACCTAGAAACAACCATGCTTGCCTGCAGCAAATAATCATTATCATAAGATCTACTTCCGTTTGGGAACCCTGTGCTACTTTCCCGCCAAACAAGTACCTCAACCAATGCTACAACCCACCCTTTGAAAAAATCCTGGATCCGCCCCTGGAGCAGAACATAGCTAGACTGGGACTGTGATTTGGTCAAAAGGGGGGCTGGGCATGGGATTAGGAAACCCCTAAAAAATCCTMCGTATGAACCTCGTTTTGAGATCTCTAAGGCATTTTAGCTGCAGTAAAATATGTTGATTGAGGGTCGATCAGTCGGGATTACATTGGGATCTTTATGACATTTTAGCTGCCATAGTAAAACGTGTCAGTAATTGAGCTGGAGGGTCGATCAGTCGGGATTCTGTTCATATGCGGACTCCTGCGGCGAGCGTTTCCAGACCTCCTGCAATGATGCCATCGCTATATTATTATAAACCAATTTWAAAAGGTTCATGAAATATTCATCATGGTGTTTACTCTCATTCTAATGAGAAAAAGTTAATAACAATCTTACACTAACAACTAAAAACATTTAAGATGTGAATCGGGGCTTTGGAAATTTTTTTCCGAAAAAAATTTGCTTAAAAACACCTTTGAAAATAATAACTGAAGGCATGTTTAGAAACCGATATTAAATTGTTGTAAAATGATCGACGAATCAAATCTCTTACACGATCCTGTTATTCGAATAATACTACTATAAACAAAAGATGGATTATAAGGTGTGTGTGTTAGAAGTTAGTTTACACAATGTATTTCTGGTTAGAATATAAATCAATACCCTGCAGCTCGTGAGAAACTGTGACTGAGGATGTGATAAATTGCCTCAAGAGCAGCGTGTGCTGTCTTTTCAATTCGACCTAATGTCACACGAAGTCAATGAATCCGGTTTAGACCTGGATTCCCATGTAGCGCGATGTGAAATGACAGGGCAACTGTTATGTACTTTGCAAACAAGGATTATYTTTATTTTTCAAGGGCGTAGCCAGGATTTATCATAAGGAGGAGAAAAGGGGTGGTCATCTCTTCCATTGCTCCCTGACCGACCCTTCCCCAATATAGCGCTTTTTTCCCCACTYAAGGGGACGTTACCTCAGACTCAAAAACAAATTCAAAATGTTTAGACTCCCCTCTCGACCCCTTAAACCCTGTACTGAATAATCAGGGGGAACTGAATGTCATGATTCTTTTGACTTTTACCTTTGCCAGTGTGATATAACATGCCCAAATGGCTTATTTGGCTTGGGGAGCAACCCATTCATAAAGTGAAGATATACCCTGTTATTATCCCCCCCCCCCCCTCAACTAATTCAGTCTTGTTCCCTTTCGTCGAATACAAAGAACATTGAATCAGTCTCATGATGTTCTTGACAAGAATAAGAAGCAGAAACACAAGTTATCAAGGGCCGCGGTGGGTGTGGCGCAGGGCAGCCCCCCCCCCCATACTTTTTCTTTTTCCCCTACTAGTCTCTTATATATTTCCCGATCTTTTCCCCTCTTTTTYCCCCATACTAGTCCCAATCCGTCGCCCCCTCGCTTTTTAGGGTGCTCCGCGGCCCCTGGTTATTCCAGCTATTCTTGGATCTTGAAATGACCYATCTCCTATCGCTTTTTRCCTAWAGGCTATTGCCTATCGCCTTTGGCGATGACAACATTTATTGAAATAGTCGTATGTCATTATTACTTGTTGGATGGTTAAGAAAGAAAAGTCATCTTTTCTCGTTTACACAAGCCGCGAGTTTCATTGMCATATCAACTTCCCTCATAGTTTCATGGATAGTTGACCGTGTTTTGATGCGGTGCTGCGCGATCCTGAATTCACACCAAGCGCAGTAGAGCCAAAAGTAGGACGTCCCACTTGGCTCTAGCTAGGTGTGAATTTCATTGATTTGATCGCACAGCATACCCTGAAAAAGGTAGATGAGCCATTCGTAGATTTATTACCATGTGCATGGTTCTGATTCTGACACTGATAACCTTATCTTGCCGTCAGTAGCGGTAACAGAACTCGTGTCGTAAATTGGTGATTTACRCATATAACACGTAAAAAAAATTTTACGTAGAAAAATAATACTATYTTTCAAGTGTCGGTTCAGTACCGTGACCGTGACGACGTTGTATTCTGTCATTTTTACTCATCATAGTACTGTCAATAGATGATCAATAGATGATCTGAATTCCTAACTGCACGGTTTGCCGACACAGTCAGAATAAGACCTCTGTAGATTGAACATAATGGTTTTCCATTCTATACCACGTGTCATTTCCTAGAGTATCTTTTCTTTGTTTACGTTGCGCACCGAGAATTAAAGTCTAAACATGAATATAGATAGCGTCCGTTGCAGACGTCGCAACGACGCTAGAATGTAGATACAACTCAACAAAAAAAACTGATAAATTTTTCTCGAGGAAATGAATGAGACGTGGTCTAAAATAGGAAAACTACGTACAAGCTAAAGAGGTGCATTTACTGGCAACTTTATTGAAAGTACGATTATATGCCTCTTTTTTAATAAACGGCTGATCCCTATCCCTGTGGTACTGGCTCAGGGGCAAAATAACGGTGGCTTTCAAGTAGCGACGACCAAAATCCAATCGAAAAACATCCTGTTTTACTATGAGTTAAGATGAAAGTGACCTTGGCTGTTGCCCGGAAATCTTTTAAGGCGATTTTATTAAGTTTATTGATTTATTCCCGTATCTGTTAATCATATGGATYTTAATTATGTCAAGTAATTTTTAATCTCCACTGCATGAGGCTGAAGAACTAAAGCACCTTTCATATTATATCCTATACTCGTTGTACCACCAGGAACYGTTGATAACCTTTTAGTTCTGATGACTTTTTACCTGTACCTGGTACTCACACCAGTGTCGTAGCCATGGGAGATAGCCCGGGAAAGGTACTCCCATAAAAAGGGCGGGGTTCATCGTCGAGAAAAAATAAATTTAACCCTAAGAAAAAAGAGAGAGTTTGGGCGTGGTCCAGTCCTTGTAGGATCTTAGCCCTAGATACCAATTTGAAACACAAGATTTATCGTAGTAAAATGATCAAGTACCGCTAAAAGGTGCATACCACATGTGTTAAAAACTAACCTTTTCACACACAAAAGAGGGATTTTTTTTTACAATTTCAACCAGTAAAAGTTACCGCAACGATCAYCCCCACCCTTCGTCATAGGGGAGTACCCCTCCCCCCCATTCCGGGCAAGAAAGCTTAACATCCAGAAACAGAGAATCAARAATAGATAGTCGCACGATTATATTCAGATCTATATTTAAATATCCCCTGCTGGCTTTGCAAAACATTTTCAATAGCCCCGCCTAATTCTTACCAGAAAAAAAAGRCTGTCCCTACAAATCCTCCACCCTTGATTTAATTTGATATGTATCCTTCCTTACTCTTTCTAGTAATATTTTGTACTCCCATCCCCTTCAATAAAATAATTTGACGTTCGACGATGACATTTTAGTGTAAAATTTCCTYGTTCTAATACAAATTTATTTCAATTATACACCGATACACTATAAATGTATAGAAACTGACGCAAATGCTACAATTGTTTGAAGGCAACAGAGTCGTAATAAAGTTGTGTTTGCACAGGGAAATAATACAAAAGTTACACTAAGACGGTCAGTGCCCCCTCCCCTCCCCTCCCCTCAAATAAATTATGCATCCTCCCTTATCCGCCTTTCTAATATATTTCTCATTCCCGTCCTCACTAAAAAATAGTTTTCATAAATATTGCATCTTGATTTTCTTATGTTTTTTCTTATATCCAGTGTCGACAGCTCATCTCGCAAGWTAACTATGGCTACATGCATCGTCAGGTTACCCAGCAATGTATGTATTACCTATTTTAGACTGATCCTTATTATTTACTGGCTTGAAAATTGATTCTTCCTCAGGGCAAAGTGTCGACTTTTAATACCACACTTCATTGCTTCGAGACAACAGTCGCATCAAGGAAATAGGGCAATACACTGCCGCCATTCAGAGARTATAAGAGGCACCGACCAATTTATTTATTGACGGAAATGTATTCCCAATTTTCCTTTTGCGACTGTTGTCTCGAATTCAGTGAAAAGAGTGGTAAAAACAATTGCTAGAGGTTTCGAATTCCACTTAAAACATTAACCGTTTTTGAGTGGCCTTAAATTTTCCAGCCTCTTGTACGTCGAATAATTTGGAAAAATGGGTTTTAGGTTACTGAATGGGAATTAAATTCAGAAGGAATCGCCTAAATGGGATTTTTTTGAAATGCCCACGATCTGGTTCAGTGGGATTTTGATACTGAAAGTTTAATTTACGTAAGGCACCGGGATTTGGGATTTTCCCTATCCCTATACCCCCCGTACTTAAGAATACAATGGCGTGGCAAGTCGGAATCATTCGTTTTAAATTATTTTAKCTGAATGGACCCTTTAGATTCTCCAGCTTCGAGTTTTGTTGCTCAGCAGGGTTAGCCTCGACTTTGTGCAGAATATGAATGTGTTACAGTGAAGGTAGTYCGTGGAATTTCAAAGTGTTTGTATTGTTTGTATACTTTACCGTTAGTATTTGAGAATAGTGAGACACTAATTCGAGGTAAACGCTGGRTAAATGTGTCTGCATTCAAGGAACACAGCGGTAATTTGAACAGAAATATAAGAATCAAAGGCAGTCTTGCGGGCTATCTGTGTGTTTTTCTTTTGTGATTCTTGACCGGCCACGGTCTTCCTGTGGTGTCTTTTCAATCTTCTAGCTTAAACTATTCAGGTTTGATGGCATTTTCTCGAATGATTTGTTTCCATGCCAACAYGAGAGTGATCTTAAATCAAGAATGTTCTAAAGGAATTTAAACTCCTTGAAAATACCAGCAATTAAGATTGTGGTTCCGATTGATAAAGGATTAGGTTAATACTAAAGCTTTTAGTGTGGTACTTGGTGCATCAGTTACAAGACTGAATAAATAATCTATGATGTTTAAAGGATAAATGTATGTTATAAAACACGTAGTATCTACCTGTATGTGGGCAGGTGAAACTGAACGGTGAGGTTGGAAGCTAGAAATTAGAACGTAGAGAATAGCCTCCCCCCTCCTCTCCTTTTCCGTTCTCGGTTTCTCTTTCCATTTTCTCCTCTGGTTACCTTTTTTTTCTTCTTTTCTCTCCTCTTCTACTCTTCGAATTCACACTCACTATATCACTGAACCAAGAGTAAAYGATAATTTTCTCTTGTGTGAACAAAATGCACATCCGTGTGGTCTAATTCTCCGAGAGGCTTCGCAAATCACGTGCCGGCCGGCGCCCATAATACGGCTTGTGTCTTCCTGTGAGTTGATGGCAGAACAATAAAATCCCTTTGCTCTCGAGAATTGAATTCCTTCTCATTTAAAACGATTGCAAGCCTCTATAAAATGGATGAGATAAATGGATGGAACTACAATAGACCGTTTTCTCAAGGTTGCGTGCGCATCCAACTTGACGGGCCACAAAACTGAAAAACACAAATTCAGCAAAATTGAGAAGACAGTTTTATCAGTTAAAGAGGAGAATAATCGACTTYATGAATTCTTATAGAAAAAAGAATTCATAGAAATGCATGACAATACTAGTGTTCTGGTTTCGTGGCCCGTCAAGTTCCTTAAATTTGGATGCCCACGCAACCTTGAGAAAACGGTCTATTCCTTCAACGAAGTACTGATTTCAACTGACAGCGTTTTACCAGTAAATGCATCAGTAGATAGAGCGTTGCGTGACGACACTTATAGCGGCTGTATAGCGGACTAAGAGTCTTTTATATTTGTTTTTGAAGTTTAAAAAACCGTCCTTTTTTCACTAGGGTAGCACTTAATAGCCAGAGGCTAACACTGTGGCCCTCRTTYCGTGATCGAATTTGAATAAGGTTGATTTTTGAGGAGGGAGGAAAACCGGAGAACCCGGAGAAAAACCCTCGAAGCACAGGAGAGAACCAACTAGACACTCTATACTCACATACAACACCGAACCCGGCGGGATTCGAAACCGGGTCGCATTGAACGTTCCCAACGCTTCTTGTTTTAGTAGAAGWTGCAGTGGAAGCGCGCGCGATAAGGCACCGCGTAAAAACAGATCTGTAAGCTGCTTGAATCCAATAGTTACCTGCCATTAGTGACAACTGTTGGTTGACAGCTTTTGGCTAGACAATTCAGWCAGCGATTTATTTATTTATATTGTTCAATTTGTCCGCTGCCGTTGAAAGAATGAAATATGAACAGAACTGCGCTTCAATGGCGTGGAACGCTTGTGTAATACCAATATTGCAATAACAATACACTAGTGTATGCCTGATGTTTTTTTAACACCGAAACCACTCATAACTTCAATTTACAATCAAAGGCTCAAACTCTAAGCGTCTAAATAGGAAATGGATACTTTAAATCATGCTTTAGGCAATTGTATCCGGACCCTCCCCTCCCATATAAAGTATTATGCTGGTATATTTATTGCAAGGGGGGGTCTGGTGATATACCAATCACAGCAAGGAATCATAATGACTAGWAATGATGCTGCGATGGTGGTTCTATGTTTTGAAGAATTTCACTCTGTCAGTGGTTGCTAGATTCATTATTAATCTTTACAAGATGATATCTTGTCTGGCCATTTCAAATTCAAAGGATAAAGACACATGTTGTAACTGGAACGACCTCTTGATTTGCGCTAACTAATTCGAGATCACGACTGGCTGCTTTTCCACTACACGCGAGCATTCAGTTTGTTTATAATTTCGATTTAAGAGCTTATTGACTGGTATAAACAGGAAAATGGCTTGTGCTGTTGCAGAAGAAAATGGCGGGGAAAATGGAAGGACTGAGGAAGAAGATGACGGCGAAGAACTGATAAAAGAAGCTCCTCGTGCAAGAAGTCCCGAAGGTGAGTTATTTCTGTGCAGAAGATTTTAGTTTTAAAATGGCTATCGACTAAAATTGATATTGAAAGGCAAATTTCATAACCTTAGGGTTTGGATGAAAAATTAATCATTCTTCATGTCTTGTGTTTTAAGATCAATCTAAGAGGAAGGTCGATTCCAGAATTACAAAGCTCCGTCGAAGAATTTCGCAAGGACTGAGACTGTGTAAGCACCCACCTTTTGAATGCGCTTTCACTATTATATTTATAACGATAAATAAGAATCACTTAGAACCAGTGTGGAAAGTGTGACTTGGCTTTCAGACCCTTTCAAGCCTGCTAAAACTATCCGTACACCACGTATAGTTATCTAATTGAATTGCTGCGCGGTTTGAACGAATTGACTTTTCAATTGAGGTTTCTCATTTCATCGTAATCTATAGGTACATCGTATATTTTTAGCCAAGTTTCGAATCCCGAGTCTTTYGTACAATCATAAATTACATGTGATCACTTACAAGATTTATTTATCTTTAAAGCATTCGCAAAGGACGACGAGGAAGTGTTTGCAGAAAAGCCTAATGTAAAGGTAAGTTTATGTGAACAGAATTATATAATTTGTAAGAAATAAGACTCAAAAGGTGGCCTTTTCAAGACGTATTACTAGTATTAGTTTAACTAGGGTCCGTGTACATTGTTTTTTTTTATTTGAATAATTAAGGCGACAAAAAAAAGCAACCAAACAAAATACCTTGGAGAGCCAGACAATTCTCTATTTAGCCATCTCTTGTGAAACGTTTCGGTGTCATGAAGTCATAACAATAACTCGGCTAGGTTAATGAAAGATAAAAAACGAAGGAAAAAAGGAGAACGCATTGAGAAAGATAAAAGTTTAGAATTGTAAACGTTAAGACACATCCGACAAGTCGGCTGGCTATTCAAATAAATGAATAACTTTATTTGTTTATTGCTTTTAAGATTTCGTTGTATCTGATATATCGCTTTAAAATCAAGTCATTCGAGCCCTCCATATTATTGTTTTCTTTCAAAACATATTTCTTTTAACCCAAGTACGCGTGCATGCTCTTAAAAAAAGCAACAAAATATATGGTCTTATCGAAAAGAGTTTTGAACACCCAAGGAGGCTAATATTTACTTTTATTACTTAAATTTGTCTAATTTTTTTTGGCTAAATTATTCGTTTTTGACATCAATCCGATTATTCTATTAAAATTTCAAAATTAATGACAATTTAATATTTTTATTAAATCAGYAATATTGTTCTTATATAATACTAAGGATAGAAAGCAAAAATACTATTGATGAAGACTATGATTATTTACTGTTTTGCTTTTACTGTCACATATTGCAGCTTGTTTCAATTACAATACCTGCTAGTATGATAATGAGTGGTGCATTTGAATAAGTATGCTTAGTGCATTGCGGTGGTYATTAGGCCCTGGCTAARCGAGGAAACAAGTTTCCAGAAACATRTTTCCCACGCACATGTTTCCCGATGATTCCAAATTAAGCCACATGCRAAACATTACTACGTGCAACAAATTTTGCTTTCAAGACRCAAAAATGTTTCTGYTGTGCGGCAGAARCATTTCATGCTTCCAAGACGCATGGAAACAATRTTTCCCAATKTTTCCTCGTTTAGCCACGAAAGTCAACATTTTAAAAGTTCGTCACTTAGCAACGCTAGTTCTATCTTGAAAGTGCTCATACRCTAACCGATGTTGAGCAAATATGTTTCCCGATGTTTACTGACAGTTTTGCCACCTTTGGAAACATTTAAGAAAACATGTTTYTGGAAACATGTTTCCTCCAGTTGCAAGGTGGAAAGGGGGAGGGCTATTGAAGAGGACTGCATAGTATGTCTAATGGTATCTGTATCTAATGGTATCCCCCCCTCCCCCCCACTTGCTTACTCATCTGCTAACTAAAATCTCCTGGTTATAAGCCCCCTCCATTTGAATAATGAAGTATAACACCATGCAGCATCGTAGCATATAAATTGCTATTTTCATAAAAGAGTGAACTCTGTACTTGAGATTTGCCTGTTGGAATTTGGTTTTTCGCTGCCACCCACCAGTCAAAAATAATATGAAAGGAGTCGACTGATTAGTTTTGATTGAYGGCAGTGAAAAACCAAATTTCAGTGTGTAGCTGGCAGCTACTGAGTTTGCATGTTTATGAAAATAGCACTAACAATCTGCTCAGATTATTTTATTATTTTATTTTATTCCACACCATAGAAAATACAGCCAATCAGAATGCAGGAAAGCCATTGTATATTTTACTCTTCCTTCCCATGCACTTCACCTTGAATCCAGGCTTTTGTATTTTCTATTGTGTGTAGTAAAATAATATTATACAAAGCTTTCTTGCGGCACACCATTGAATTTCCCACTTGTCATTTGTGTTTGTGTGTATACTAGAAAATACAAGTGATGTATAGGATATTCCATGATATACCACTTGAAAGCATGGTATAACTAGTAATTAATTTATAATATATGTGAAATATATATATAAATGAGRGACACACCTGCTTACAAGAATGTTGTTAGCAACAACAACCAACGACAAACACTTAATTTTATTTTTACAATCAAGACTAAAAATGTATAAGTTATGTATCAAGTATGGAAAAAAGTGTTTTCAAACACTGAGAGTTGAAAAAAATTGAGGTGTTTGGATAGAGAATGAAAAACTCTTWCAAGTGCTTGATATGTCTTCTCAAATTATTAAAAAATCTTGGAGAAATCCAAAGTATAAGTTGCCCAAAAGTTATGCTAATTAAGATGACACTTCCAACCTCCTCACATTAGTGATTTTCATGTCTTGATAAATCCCTGGATATATATAACCAAGCCAATATGTTTTTGCTTAARATATTTTGTATTTTGTAACTGCTGTTTTACCCCCCAACAGTCCAGCAGATTATACCAACTTGAAGTAGGGGTGAGGGTTTATTGGATTCAAGTTCTGTTTATAAGAAGACTTCCTTATGTTTTGTTTTCTCAAAATGATGTGCCTGACATTTTTAATTGTACAAATGTCAGGCCACAAATTTAAAGTATGCATGACCCCAGGCTAAAACTAATAGAAATCTATTCTTGAAGAAGGATTTATGCAGTTCTGTGATCAATTGTGAAAGGAAATTTATTTCTTCATGTTTGATGTTGTYGTTGTGGTATAGATTTCAGATATTTTTTTTATTTATTTCAGATTATTTTTTTATTATTTTGGTGTATGTATATATAGTGTGCAAATGATAAGAAATTTGTAAATATATACATGCTACAAAAGATAGTCCTCCATAGATATAAATTTTCTCTTATTGCGTTTCTTAATTTCTTTCGTGTTTTTTWTTTTTGCTTWTCTATCTGATCAAATAATTTTATCATATTCAAATCTTGGAAACAATT